ATTTATCTAATCTATCTAGTCTATCTATCTATCTATCTATCCAGCTATCTATCTAGCTTGCTAGCTAGCTAGCTATCTATGTATCTATCTATCTATCTATCTATCTGTCTGTCTATCTATCTATCTACCTATCTATCTATTTATCTAAATCATCTATCTTATCTATCTTATCTATATTATCTATTTTATCTATCTTATCTATCTTATCTATCTCATCTATCTTATCTATCTTATCTATCTTATCTATCTTATCTATATTATCTATGTTATCTATATTATCTATCTTATCTATCTTTTCTATCTTATCTATCTTATCTATCGTATCTATCGTATCTATCTTATCTATCTTATTTATTTATATGTATATCCTATCTATCTATCTATCTACCTATCTGCCTATCTATCTATCTATCTATCTATTTATCTATCTATCTTATCTTATCTTATCTTATCTTATCTTATCTTATCTATCTATCTATCTATCTGTATATTGGTCTATTTATCTAGTCTATCTAATCTATCTAATCTATCTATCTATCTATCTATTTATCTATCTATCTATCTATCTATCTACACAGGGTATCACCCCAGTAAGATCAGGCTGATTCATTACTTGCGGTTCCTAACATATGAATCCCAGCGCGACCTGTCAGGAGGAGAAGAGTAACGCGCTTTCTCTTCCCCTCCCAGTGATGGCTTTAGCTTTGCTGCTGCGGCTTGTGTAGATAAGAGCCCCCGGTGGCGACCAAGGATTTTTTGGGATTGGGGGAAGTATGTTGGAGATGTCCATTATGTATAGCAACAATGAGATTTCCATTATTGTTATTCATTGGGTGCTGGGATTGAATATCCAACATAACATTGTATTCTGTGATGTTTTTCCATGTCCAAATTGAGAAAAAAAAAACTCAAACTAGAATTTCTCAACCCAGAGGCCCGAAAAAAATATCCCAAGACCATGCTCGGAACAGGGGCTTTTGGGCTTTTCAAAAACCATCGGTGCATCGCAGCAGTTGCCCCAGCTGCGGCCAGTGGGCTAGCGCTGCGAGACGAATGACCGGGCTGCCAAGTCAAAAGAAGTGGAACAAATTGGGGATTAACAGATAAACATTTGGGTATGGATCAATACCTATTAATACCATTTTTAGTGGGATGAACATTCATTTACCAGCTATTTTGATGTTCACCAGGGGTACAAGGTTTTGACACACTGCCATTTAATATCGTATATATATAAATGATATTAGATCAAAACACATCATAATTATAAAATATTCGGTGAGTCCGTTACAGCTAGGCGACCTGCGTAAGGCTGTGTGTGTTTGCAGCACCCAAGCTCTGGGTGAACTCTTGATTAGCCATGCAATGTATGTAGGGAAGTGTATAGTGTAACCCCGTAACCCCCAAAAAGATGCAATTTAAAGTGATGCATCGCTATTTCAGTCGCATTTGTTGAATAGGAAATCATGCAATATCATGCATATTGTAGGTTCGATTGGGTTCGGGTGTTTCCTTTTCTGCATTTTTTATCATTTTTTTGCAGTTGTGGCACTTTAGTGTACCAGTTATAAGTACTTATAATTCCATTTATAGAAAGTGTATAATCCCATAGAAATCACCGGTTCTAACTCAAAAATGTCCATAACTCTGGTGGTTTCTCTTCGCGCTTTGTCTTCCGGCCGGAAGACGATCCCAATCCGGTGCAGTTGCCCCGGTCGGAAGTTGCCCCAGTTGCGGCGAATCTTCAAGAGGTGCCAAGTACGAGAGCGGCGGCAAGATCACGCTGCACAACGACGCCTTGCGATGGGTCACTGGCTTGCGATTTGTGGAGTTTAAGTCCAAGGACCTGAGCTGGATAGCTGGAATGTAATGGACAATACATATTAATGAACAACGTATAGTCAATGTTATGAAATTGACATGTTCATATTAATGATTCAGGATTTCTAAAAATGGAGTTGAGTTTTGGATTTTACCGTGATTGTATGGGGTTTAATGGGAATATAATGGACTGTTGATAGCTATTGGGATATTAATGGGAGGTTCATACTGTCAATCCCCACTGGTAAGGCTTCACCTTTAGAAACTGGACCAGGATGAACTGTGCTAAACAAGGATGGAATGATCCATGATATATATATTATATACATATATATAATATGAAACTAACACACACACACATATATATATATGTATACATGGAAACAGGGATGGAATATGATATATTAAACAACATGGAAACAAGGATTATTATGAGAGATAAAGTGAAGTGTTTTTCTTGGATTTTTCCATGTTTTTCAGGTGCGAAGGTGCGAAGCATTGAGATGAGATTTTTCAGTCGCCAATGTAATCGTTCAACCTTTTAAAATGCATACAACGCAGACGTATTTGAAACCTGGATTGTCTAAGAATGTACCACTATTATTACGAAAAGTGCATGGGCGACGCAGCTTCAGCCATGTATCAGTCCACTTAATAACACTGCAGGCCTTCCAAGATGGCATCTCTCATAATTTAGAGCGGCAGCTTTACACGTTTTGTTTTTGCAAAGTGCTTCTGGATAGCTGGATATGACACAGAACTCTTCCTCTGAGATGGTGAGATGTGAAGAAAAAGGGCGCAACGAAGCGTTCGGGGCTAAGGTGGTTCGTCCAGATGAATGCAGTGACCAATACCCAGCCGGTACCACCGTGTGACCTTGGGAAACACCTTGGATTCGATGGCATGGGTTGAGATACTGCAGCCACCTCAAATTCAGTCTTGGGATTTCATTCAAATCTCCAGGATTTTTTTTCATGAAAATGGCCAATTGTTCGGAAAATCACTTCTGGAAACCAGAAAGTGTGTGGAGACGACATCGGATTCTCAGATCTTAGATCGACCTTGCAATCCAAGGCTCCCCTTTATGAAGCATTGGACAAATATCACCGTATCACCCAAATAATCCGTCGAGTTGTCTCGAATCTGCGATATCCAGATATATCCAGATATATCCAGGTATCGCAAAGTGGCTTTGATCTACTACTTGACGCAGGTGCAGCTGGGAAGGCAAACTTGGCAAACCCATCTTGATGGATTAGCCGCTTAGCCATACAGATCTCCATGTTGTTTAAGGGGTTGATGAAAGTGGGTTAATGTTGACCTCTGATTAATCATGGGCCCCCTCCCTGTTTGACCTTGAGAATAGATTTCTAGCCACCATCAAACTTGTTTGTAAGTATTGATTTTCAATTACCACAATTTATATAAAATGAAATATAAAGTGCAATTTCCATAAATAAGGAATCCAACAATTGTTTTAGTATTGATTTCGTATTCATTTCATGGATTTATTATTGATTTAGTATTCGTTTCATGGATTTAGGTTTAGGGCCAAAACAATAGCTTTATTTAGGGGTCATTTACTATTTAGTTTGGGAGTTTGATTAGCTTTATTCAGGGTTAGCTTAATAATCGTAGGTGAACATTAAGTATGGATTTACATGGAGATACATGGACTTACCAAAGCAACTTAAGCTTGGAGCCAATCAAGCGGCTTAATCAACCCTGAACTGGGACTTAACACGATGGATCCGGGCTTCTCAGAGATCTTCATCGATTGCGGGTCCGGGTTCCGGAGGGTGAAGCCACTGCGGCAGGTGGAGGCTGTTGAACGTTTACATATGGAAAATCACAATTTTTTAGTGGTGAAAATCAACTATTTCTATGGCTATTTTCAATAGCTATGTAACAAATGACCAGAGGGTACAAGTGCCAATCTGAAAACGCGAAATGAACAGCTCTGAATAGAATTCTTATGGTATATTACTGGTTGGTGGTTTCAAACATTTTTATACATTGTTTATTGTCCACTATATATGGGATGTCATCCTTCCCATTGACGAACTCCATCATTTTTCAAGATGGTTATTGCACCACCAACCAGATTATTATTAACCATTATTAAGCATAGAATAACCATTTATATTAACCATATATTCACCATTATTAACCACCAACCAGTCATCATTTGAAATATACCCTTTGGTAACTGACATAGCTATGGAAATCACCATTTTTTGTAGGATAAATCATCGAACTCAACGGGGTCATGGCTTCGCTGCTTCGCTCTTCATCCTGAATGGTAGACGAACGACCGCTAGACCGCTATTGCCCTTGTTACTATAACGTTACGACTATAGAATTTGAAATTGGAAAAGATGGATAGACAAGTTTCTTAAGTTTCTGGCTGAGAATGTTTGGATCTTCACTTTTAAGTGATTATAGTTGATGATTAATTGACTGCATTTAACTGCTATTTCGCTGCGCGCACCGCCATTTTCACGGCTCAGCGTTCAATTTTCACGGCGGACACGACCGCCGGGCGCCCCACCATGGCGCCGTCCGGCCTCGCCATGTTGACGGAGGCGTGGTACACCGACCCCAGCTATGGCGATCTAGGGACAATTCATTGTGGTAGTGTGAGTATAGGATCCACCATCCCCATTGTTTTTAGTTTTTTATGGGTGTTATAAACAACCGTTTTTGTTTTTTGCAATGCGTGGTTTATGACATTGCTTTAATTCACAAGCTGAGTTGGTTATATCATGTTATATCAACTAAAATGGAAGTTGACTACTTCGCTCAGTTGGTTTATAACCGGGGCTCATGGCAGAACATGAAAACATCTTCACCTGCCGTTCGATTCCAGGGAGGTCGCCCTTTGCAACGCATCAAGGTACAGATGGACACCGTCGATATGGTCTAAGCACAGCTTGTGTGATATACGATAACCGTTGAAGCCCCCACGTGGAGAGAAACATGGCAAGCTGAATTTGCCAGACCTGGTTGCTGCTAATGGTGTGGAGCAGATAGGAATGAATATGAACAATGGGGGCATGTTTTCTCCCAACATGGATTTGGCTCTTATCCAAAACTACTTCATGGATTTTAGGATCAAGTTCGAATTGGAATCATGGTTGAAATCATGATTGAAGCAACGTGCCCTCTCACATCAAATTCCAAAACAAAGCACACATTTTCCGGCCGTAGCCGTAGCCTGCTGCCGTCCGGGCCATGGCATCTAGAGCTGCCTTCTTCGCGTATTTGCTCACTGTGCAGGCGATTTTAATGGGGATTGAAGCATGGTGAGTTTGGTGAGTTTAAACCATGGATATAACCGTGGATTAACGGAAGAGTGGTGGATTAATATGGATAAATTTGGATTAGTATCATTCATGGGTTCTGCAACCCAACAAATATATCTACAGGGGAGCCCACACTTTAAGATCTTTACCGTCTTTACCCCTATTTTTAGGTTGTTGTTTTGTTTGGGGGGAAGGGGAAGGGGGCGGATTTCTGGAATTCTTCAACAAAGCATCAGATGGATTGGTCAGATAAGTTCAATATATTAGATCATTAGATGATTTTTGTTGTCAAGCAACCTGAGGAGCTGCCGCGGAAAACCCACAAACCACCCGCTTTTTGACCGAGGCCTCCTGCTTCGTGTCGTTCATTTTGCAGTTGCTGGGAGTTCAAGTCTCGCACGGCTGGGTACCTTGGAAACCATCAGTTCTATGCGGCGAAGAACTTCATTGTTTACTGGTTGGTGATTTGGAACATGGCTTTTATGACTTTCCATATGCATCCGGAACAATCACCCCAACTGACGAACTCATATTTTTCAGAGGGGTTGAAACCACCAACCAGCGAAATAGATGAAAATGATGAAGTGAATCGGAATTGTTCAACCACAAAGATCAGATATCATTGATATATCATGATTTTTTGCCGAAATGGCTCAATAAATAGGGTGCAGTCAAAAAATGGTGTGAGATGCGACACAGCTGTGGCTAGGTGGCGGCCTGGTTGCTGAAGATCTTGGGCACACGCTTTGGCACCGCCATCAACTCCAGTGAGGCCGTTCCATGCCGTTCCGGCCGTTCCCGTTGCCATGGGAAGTGGGGATGGCGTTTGATGTTGCGAACGGGTTAAGAACTTAAAGTTGATGAAAATAACTCAACTGTTGGGTCCATGGAAGATATTTTGAACATGTATTGAACTATATTGTTGGATATTGTTGGTTTGAGCGGACAAAAATCTCTAATTGGGCTAAAAAAAAATCGAGATGATGACCTTATGGGTAACAACACCATGGTAAGCCAGCGATGGCTATATCTCTCCTTGGAAGCGCTGGTTCACCCACGGGAGAAGCTTGGCCCAAGATCTGCAAGTTTGTTGCGATATGCTACAGGAAAGCGTGTTTTTTTTCTTTTTACCGTGGTTTTTACCATCAAATATCGAGCTTTCCTGTATGATGTTTTCTCTTGCATCAGTCCACTGAACCGGCGTTTCTGGCGGACGCCGACGCCGGGGTCCATCCGATTCTCCGGGTAGCTCAAGGTGGTGCGATGCGCAGTGACATTTGGGACCTCAGCCAATCCAAGACAGCATCGATATATCTTCCCATCAAATCCAACAATTAACTATCTATAGGTCTTTCAGCCCTTGCAATTGTTTGGTGGCATCAATTGGCATCATACAAGGCCCCAAATCCCCCAAATCTTGGGGCAAAGCCACGGACTTCCAGAGCTATGGAAGGAATCCCATGATTGTTGCTTTATATCCTCATGACATCCCCACGATACACCAATTCTTTCGATGATTTTCCCAGGTGTGTCCCATTAAATCCAACCAACCACCATTCTTTATGGTTGAATCACCCTTTTGGCCCTTTAGCAGGTGCTGGATGCAGCTAGCCCCGTGGTCTACTTGAGCAATCACAGGTCGCATGCTGCGTTGCTGCGTTGCTGGGTTGGAGGCTAAGTCTTGGTGAAGATTCCATGGATGGAGCTTCGTCTTTGGGGGGTAAAAATGGTAACAGCTATGAGTTATGGTGGAGACATAAACAATCATTCATATAAATCTAAAGTTAGATGGGGTTATATGGAGTTGATTTCTGGAAAATGATGATAATTGTCCATGGAAAATGGCTACGTTTTTTTCAAAGCAAATATATAAGCAAATCATCTACAAATGGGTAATTTTCCATCGGATTTATGGTGGATAGATCTACGATGGGGTCAGGTGGGGTCAGGTCCCCTTGGTCCATTGCTGGTCGAGAGATGTCTGGCCAAGGGGCCAAGGTTGGCCAGGAGTCGTTAGCTCAGTTGATGTATAACTTGATTCACGTCTGGGATTACAGGGGATATAACTTATATATAACTTATATGATATAGCTATAGTTCGAGGGAGGTATAAAGCAACTTAGAACTAGGGGGGCCCTTCCTGTATCAGTATATATTCTTCCTAGTCTGAAACACCCGCTGAATGGTTCCAAATATATCCAAATATGTGTTTTAATTGTCTACTAAGCCAATGTTTTCCGGTGGTGTTTAATATTGAGGCGGGGAGGGATTGCAGTATACCCTTGTTAAATGAATCTCAGCCGCTAAGCAGATATCAACGCCATGTAGCTACCCTGAGTATCACTGAAGGACCATGCAAATAGGACGCTGCATGATTCTGAAGACTAGAATCCATCGTGGGTAGCTTGATTATATCTCAAGACTGCTACATTTTAGAGGGTCAAATCCAGGTCATGATCAACTCAGATAGCAAATCAGTTTGTATACTGGGTTGTAACCTAGCAAGCATCCCAGTTAAAGAAAATAATGACACTAATTTCCTAAATTTCCCAGATGCTCTCAACTGGATAAAGCTGAGCATGCTTTTTCTGTTCCATTGGTACTTAAGGTTGGCGTTGTTCCTTTGCCTGTTAGTCACATACTTTCACCTCAACAAACACGCCAAACAATCCAGTCAACTAATGTATCAACTTCAGACTTATATACGTCCCTAGTCAACTGACATGTTGTTGGTTAAATCACGTGTTTTCCTTTTTTTTTGGGTGGAGGTGACAAATTTCAATGTTCCTATTCTTTCACATTTTAGTTGGTTAAGTTACAATAATTTACAGGATCAATTTTTTTTTGTCAAATCCCATTTTTCTTGGTTTTCAATCACCGGTTTCCCGATGGTTTCCCAACATTTCTTGCTTAAATCACAATTTTCTATGGTTTCTTGTCGGTTTCCATTGTGTTCCCATGGTATTCCCATCGTTTTCCATTGTTTTCCCATTGTTTTTCATTGTTTTCCCATGGTTTTCCCATGGTTTTCCCATGGTTTCCCATGGTTTTCCATGGTTTTCCATTGTTTTTCCATAGTTTCCCTATGGTTTTCCATTGTTTTCCCGTGGTTTCCCCATAGTTTTCCAATTGGTTTCCCATGGTTTTCCCATTGTTTTTCCCATTGTTTTCCCATGGTGTTCCATGGTTTTCCCATGGTATTGCATCCTCCAGGAGCTGGGGCGACTTCTGGACGGACGCGGCCTTGTTGGGCGGACGCTGGGACGGAATCCTCCATGTTCCCATTTTTTGGCATGATTTTCCAATGTTTTTAGTGGAATTTCCCATTTTTTGGGATAATTTTGCAACTGTGTTTTTTTTTTCCGTGATGTCCCATAGATTTTCCCATTCAAATCTCTAATTCTTTGGCGGTTTCAATGCATTTTTCGATAGTCAGATTCACGATGGATACACCGCTTTACTTCTTAAACTCTGTCACCATTTGTTTTGTTTTTTTTCATATGTTTGTTTTCTTTTGTTGTTTTTGTTTGACGGACATGAAAGGGATTTGACTGGTATAGATTCAAGTACCACATGGTAAATGTTCGTAGATATGCTATGCATGGAGCATATGGGCTAGAAACTGGTTCGGAACATCGCCGTGTTTTTGTCAATGGGTGAATGGTTCTGAGAGACTTTACATATATTTACGTATCGTTGAAGTAGCCATTGCCATCCATTGCCATAGCTTAAACATCAAGAAACCACGGGGATTTTTAAGCGCACAAGTGGGGAGATATCATTGATAAATCTCTCGGAAAAAGCCATTGGATTCATTGGATGGGTTGGAAAATCAACCATTTTCAATAAAGCATCACTGGTTTTGGTGGTTTGGAACATGGCTTTTATTTTTTCCATAGATTGGGAATAATAATCCCAACTGACGAACTCATATTTTTCAGAGGGGTTGAAACCACCAACCAGATAATATCATAATATGAGCATACGTATAAATATATATATATATATATATGTATGTATTAAAACAATCAAGGCAGCAATGTTGAACTCTGTTGATGTCTCAGCTGTTGCTGTGCGCTCACACTCCCTTGTATCTGTTGGGAATCGCTTCAGGCTCAAGGCCTGTTGATCCAGAATGTTGGCGCACGCAATGTTGTACTTAATATTATTATATATTATTATAATATTATATATATATCTCTCTCTCTCTCTCTATCTCTCTCTCTCTCTCTCTCTCCCCCTATTCGACCCGTGTTACTTGGGATCTCATTTCACTGATTTTCCCCATATCATCAAGTTAGTTCCGCTTAGATTTTTCATCAGGACCTTCCTTCATCTCTCGCGCACTGGTGGCAGCTGGGATTCCCTTCACCGCCGTTTGGGGTTCTACATCTGGGTGGCTCTGGTTCTTCGCGCCGCCTGGTTGAAAGATGTTAGTTACTGTTGCTTGTACGCAAGGAAAATCAAAGTGGTTGACTGGGGAAACCAAGTGGATAGCAGGCTGATGATTTTCTCAACGTAAAAAAAAACACTACTTAGGGGAATCTATATAGAGGAATGTGTTCATTTTTTGGGCGGTTCTTAAGCAAATCCAAATAATCGTTTATAATTTATAACAAATTGCCGTTTCGATGAAGATCTATTCTAAGCAGATGTTGAGGGGTATACAATTACCCAACTAAGAATCTAGTTTACTTTCTGCATCATTAAGTTAGTGCATCCAACATGAGCATGAGCCATATGATAGCCTTATGATGCTTGGTTTCCAAGTATCCAATTAAATTGACCCCACATTCGTTCGCCGTAACCCCGAGCAGGCGTGGAGCAACGCACAAAGAGGGCGCCGTCGCATGGATGAGGAACTTCCTGGCGGAAAGAGACTGGGCGCAGCGTGGCGCGTTGCGTTGCTGCCGCAGCTGGGGTTGGACCCCTGAGGTTGTCGACTGGTGGTTAATACCCTCCGGTAAACATACCAAAAAGTATGGAAAATCACATTTTGTCATGGGTAAATCAACTATTTCGACTGGGCCATGTTCAATAGCTATGTTAGTTTACCAGAGGGTTAGATGTAGTAAGTCCATGTAAGTCCCATAGGTTAAAGTGGCTTATCCCATTGCTAAATGGTCGCAGTAATCCCGCAAACCAGTTGCGATCCGTGATGCGATCCGCCAAGTAAGTGGAATCCAGCACGATTCAACCAAATGTATCCGAATGTGGCTCAATCAGTAAATAGATCCCTAGTTTTGGGGGGAAACATCAATGTTTGGTGATGGAGTAATGGCCAGTCACACAAATCTGCACCCGGATGGCTGGCCATACTTTTGTTTAAGTATGGGATTGGATGCCAGAATATTATATACCCCATAGGATCCATGTATGCTATATATGGTGACATATACCCCAAATGTTAGCATATATATACCATACATGGATCCTATGGGTACTACTTCAACAATCAATCTCAATACGGGTTTACAAAGCTCGTCATACGGGTTCATGGTGGCATTTCAGGGTCCTCAACATGGAGAATATGTCATATATGATGAGGGGATATGAGGACCCGAATTGGTTGAAGGTGTTTGTTTCTCCGGAAATATCTACATGTGTCTAGTAAAAACTCATGTTCTCCTGCAGATTTTCCCCTAAACCCATGGAGACCACGGAGCCCTTTTACCAGTGATAGGAGTTGTATTTTTTGTGGTCATAAATGGTATCATTCCATTATGGGTTGACTGACATGATTGGTATTTCGGGCCGAAAACAACTGCATGGAACCCAAGAAACTGACCTCGGGTCCTCCAAGAAACCGACGGGCCGAGCCAGGAATCACGGGATTTCCCCAAAAAGGAGTTGCCACTGGGATGCACGGGCGCCAGATGGCCGGTGGTCAAATTCGGACTATTGACGCTGAAATCAATGTTTAACACCAGTTACAGTAACATTCATTAACAACATTTAACATCATGTAACATCCTGCTATATGTGTCGTGGTCAAAAAACTGGTGCAAACAGATGGCATTTGGATGTTTTTTCGCTAATGTCGTTTAGGGTTATCCATCCCGTACCGGGCAGTTAATTCCATGTTTTTTCGTTGTGCAGCAATGGGGGGATGACCATGTCATCATGTCCCCTTTATGGGAAGACCATCCCACATACGCACATGTATATATTGCGACTCAAACCTATCAAGCTTATATATATATTATATTTTAAAAAATAATAAAGATAATACTTCTTTCATGTTTTTTCGCTCCCTCAGCTCCAATCTCTTGTGAATTCACCAGGTGATCTACCCCGAGGGCACGCGCTCCCTGCTACCAGAGGGCTTACCGCTGAAGATGGGCGCCCTGAGTGCAGCGTATCAGCTCCAATGGCCCGTGCAGGTCGGCCTCGAAGCCTAGGAAAATGATCTACATTGCTGGGATTTAAGCAGAAGCTGATTGTTAGTTTAGAGTGAGTTTCCCCTAAAAAAAGTGGCTTATCCCATCTATAAATGGATGAACTATGATGAACTAAACCCAACTAACCAGATTCGTGGAGTCATTCTCGAAGTATGTCCAACTGGAGGGTTGAGATGGGTTGAGTCATACAGACACAGACTTAGTGGGATTCATTCAGATGTGAGTCAGCAAACATGATCGAGATAAGTAGTTAAGGAGAATTGTTGTTCAAACTCATCGAGATGAACTTTATGTTGGTTGGCAGGGGTGCGAAAAGTTGAAACAAACACCAATCAAGGTTCATGCAACATGTATTCGTAAATTGTCAAAATACAAGGGTCGTCGTCGTGGACGCAGGTGTGGCTAAAAAAACATTAACTTAGACTGAGTCCTTTTGGAGAAGTACTCATGATTTGGATGACAGCAAGATTGCCTCCAAATCAGTGGGTGCTCTCAGGGAGGTTGAGGAGAACATGACTCCGGGTGAATTTGAACCTCGCCAGCGTTTCATGATGATTACAGTAGTCATGATTCGTCAGGAAGACTTCCCCTAGGCACTCAGAGGAATTCGGATATGTCTTTTAGGTTTGTCATGGTTTGTTCAGAAATCCCATCCCCAAACATCCAAGAAATTTTGGAAAAGTGTTCTCAATACCCAGGAAACTATAGGAAACCCTGATCAAGCCACTCCACATTTGGATCGTAGGTGGTCATTACCAGCAACAAGGAGTGTGTCACTGCTGAGCGGGAAACTTGGACAGGTCGACAAGGCAGATGCGAGTCTCCAGAAGTGATTGGGTAAGGCTTGATTTGGGCGTATGGCCAATGTTTGGTATGTTGAAAGTTGAAACTGGTGAAAGTCTATGTGCTAAGGAATGTGCTTCTGGAATAGATTTTGTTTTTAGTATATACACCCAATTTCTCCCAATATGCGGAGGGCGCAATCAAAAACCGTGCGAGAAAAAAGAAGCAAATATCTTGGGGTCATTGCCAATCAAGGGTTACCAAGAAACACCTGGAAAGAAACACATGTTGAACAGTTGAAGATAGATGTTTTTCATGTTTTTCCCCACCAGGTGATGGCAGAATTTCACCAGAGAACCCAGCTCTATGGGCTCTGGGCTCCGGACCGGCGAGCTCGCCAACTCTCTGGGTTTGTATCGTCAGCTTTATAGAATGCCTAATGCAACATATCTGGTTGGTGGTTTGGACATGTTTGGAACATGTTTTATGAAATTCCATTCAGTTGGGAATTTCAATCCATCCCAACTGACGAACTCCATCATTTTTTCCATATCTTGGGAATTTCATAATCCCAACTGACTCATATTTTTCAGAGGGGTACAATGTGGGGCCCCCCAAGATAGCTAAGTTGGTGCAAATAACTCCAATAACTATATGTTTATGGTACGTAAATAACTATAGTTTTCATGGGGTTTAAAGACCAACTTATATCATGAATAGATATATTATATGTATACTATAGGTCAATCTTGGATGGTGCTATGTCTTTTGGTATCAAAGGTTTATAACTGGGGTTTTTAAACCAACTAACATCACTGGGGGGCCTCACATTGTATCTACCATAAACATCCATAAAACCTAGTGATATATAGGTGATACATAGGTTTGTTAAAAAAAAAACTGTATATCTACCATACCAAAACTGTTTCCAAAACTATATATCTACCATCCTGATAGGTATACCACCAACCAGACAACATATGTCATCCATCACCCAGGACTTGGCGGTGAACTTCGGCACGCTCTGCGTCAGCAACGTGTCCAAAGTGGTGGATCCCAAGAGCTTCGATGCTCGTCGTGGAAAGCCCAAGGGCTACTAGGGCTTTATGGTGATTAACCTCTGGTAAACATACAAAAAGCTATAGAACATGGCACATTTAGTTGATTTACCGATAAAAAATGGTGATTTTCCATAGTTATGTTAGTTTACCAGAGGGTAAATGTAGTGATTACAATGGGGATTGATAATGATTACCATTCGAGGTACTGCCACTCAGTATTCCCTAGCATTCCGTAGCTATGTCTGGTGGCTTATAAAGTGATTACAAATTGATAATGATTAACAGTGATTAAATACATAGTGATTACTAATGATGTATTGGATACTAGGGCTTATTCATTGTATAGAATCATGGGATATGATCGGAGTAGGGCCATGCCGTGAAGCGATCTACTGCTTCACCAACTCGTTTGGTGATTGGTTTCGAGCGGAGAATCAGCTTTGAATCGTTGGAGAATCAACTTGTTTCCAAACTGCCAATTCAGAAATCCAGTTCTACCCTTCTTTTCTTTGGATCATTTTGGATCTAGGCCCATGGTTCAATCGCCGCCACTCTTTAAAAAAGGTGATGCCACCGAAGGATGGCTAAGCGATTTTATGGTGGAAATATGGGGTTTCTTAAGTCATGGGGGGTCCCCAAGTCACCATAGTTTTCAATACTAAAATGATCTGTCTAGTTTTGGATGATTTGGGGGTACCACCATTTGAGGAAACCTCCAATATCAATAGTTAATGAGGCTTATAAAATTGTGTTAAGCTACTCAAGATACTGCGTTTGCACCAACACCTACTATGAATGTCGGAAATAGGCTTGGTACTGGCCAAAGTTTCTGTCCGGTTTAGTATCTGGGATTAGCTGATTAGCCAAAAAAAACATGCAAGACGACTGGTGCATGGAGAAACTTCACCAACATATCATCCAAGATGAAGCAACACGTTTGTTTTTTGCAGAATATGATTCAACTGTTTCAACTGGATAAAACTTAACTGGCTCCAACTGAACCTACAGTGTTGCAACATTTTTTGAAGCAACTTATTTAAACTGCATAAGATTCGTCAGAGGACTAGAATGCTGAGATAGCCAAGGGATGATTGGTCATGGTTAGCGCCTGTTGAATGCCCACTGGTTCATTACCTGAACTCACCATGGTCGCGCCACCTGTGCACCTGCTGCGTGCCCTGTACCTGGCTTTGTTGGTTTACAACCACATTTACCATAGACTATTCAGTGCCGCAAAGCATAATTCACTTAGTTATGCTTACCAAGTTGGCTACAGTAGTATTCAATATCATTCAATATCTTCAACATGTTGGTGGGACAAATCATGACAAATCACTATTCGACTGTTGGTTGATGCCCCCAGTTTTGCTGCTTAAACCAGGTCGCGGGCCTGACTTGATGGCAACTAGCATCATAGGGGGCATGATTCACAATGACCTTGCAGCACATTACCTTTTGCAGAGTGTCATTATTCCACTACTTTCCCATTGTACCCCGAAAGTACGTCCCCTTGTTATATCATGTTATATATATATATCCCATTTGATTGCAACTACATGTTGTTTTTACAAGCTTCATTGCAGACCTAGTTGGGAGTGCGTGTTTAAAATTCCGGTAGATATAGATATATCATTATATCATGGTAAATCCAGCATAAACTATAGTAAAATAGAAAACCTAGTTGTTTCAACCAACTTAGCTATCAATCAGCTATACATCCCATGAAATCATTCTTGTTCTTGGGATTTATCACCATTTCCTTTTGGTTTTCTGTTGGTTTTCCCGTGATTTTCCCATGGAATTCCTAGGGCTGCCGTGAAGTGAGGAAAGCCTCGAAGGCTTCTTGGAGGTGGTCAAGGAGATTTGGCGAAAGACCTGGACAGAGGCGATGACCCGTTTACGGATCCATGTTTAGTACCCTCTGGTAAACTAACATAGCCTGGTTGGTGGTTTGGAACATGGCTTTTATGACTTTCCATATGTTGGGAATGTCATCATCCCAACGGAATTTCACAAAATTTCCCCACCAACCAGATAGCTATTGACCATGGAGCATTTATAGATAATTGATCTATTAAACATTGTGATTTTCCACAGTCATGTTTCCGGATGGTATCAAATACAGGATTTCCCATGTTTCCGAGATCCTTCGAGGTTTTTTGGGGATTTTGGGTCCGACAAAACGAATCCCCATGGGATGTTGTTGAAATCCTCATTAACTCATAAGATCCCATGATTTGCTGGAAAATCCCACCAAACCTTCGCAAACCACGGATTTTCCCATGAAATCTAACAAAAATGGGACATTTACTAGTTATAACATGTGATTTCTATGGAATAAAACACATTCTATAAATGGGGTATTGTTACTACTTATAACTATAACTGGTATTTTGGGCCATAACTGTATTAGTTATAAGTTGGCGTATAACCCCATCTACATATAGTAAGTATTATACACTATTGTTATTATAGTTATTTGCACCAACTTAGAGACTTAGCTAATGGACTGAGGCCCCGTTCTGTAAATTTTCCCTTCAGCCAGGCCTATGGCCCTGAGTTTCGCCTGCGCAACGAGGCGCTTTTGTACAGAAGGTTGGCGCTAGGGATTCGGCTCTGTATATGTGTGTGTATATATGCCATTTGTATATAATACATACATTTTAATCATATTTAACATATATATATATATATATATGTCAATGTATATTAGTTATATATATATATATATGTGTGTGTACGCGACTCACATATACATATATATATAATTAATGTGCAATCCTGCTGTTAAGACAATGTACAATTTATCTAGCAACTCGTTGGTCAAATATTGTTGGGGGTATTGAACGCATTCTACACCAAGGTACTGTCAGATTGAACATCTTTAGCATTGATATTGAGCAGCAAAGTTGGAAAGATTTGACCAACAAGTTCATGCCAATAATGAGCAAATTCATTCCTGTGTGCTCGATGTATGGTGTATTTGAGCAATTCTTGAGGTCTATCTTGGGCTAATATCAGACCTGGAATGATTCCCAGTGGATACTTGCAAAGCACCGTTGGTGCGCACGGCAGTTCACAATCAGAATTTACCAGTGGTGAATGTCCAACCAGTCATTGGTTTATAAGCCCTACTTAACCCCGATATAACCATGATATAAAGTACGGTAACGGCATTTAAATATGTCGAGGGCGGGCCAGACCACAAGGCCCCGGAGGTAGTAATTGGAGTCCGTATGTTTACATGGCCGGTCGGGCCAAGGAAAACCTTCCCGGAGGTAGTCTGAAATTCCAGCTCGTATATATATATATATATATATATTTCAAAATCCGTAGTAGTTGCTGTATATGTATATAATTACACAATATTATTTAATACTATAATATAAATTTATATTCATATATTTATTCAATTATTTACTATTTATCTATCTATTGTTTTTTTTTTGGTGCCTGGTATGTTCATTCCTCCCATAGACGATGCCTGAGATGCATTTTGAAAAAGTGTGACATGAGGCCTGTTTGCCCGGTGGCAAGCTGGCCAAGCTCCACTTCAGCCTAGCAGGTGCTTGGCACAACAGATGTGGCTGGACAAACCAACAGAAGTTCACTACTTAGTTAGTGAAAGTGGGTTTATAACTAATAAATGATATGATTATATTTTTATTAATATATATATACATACTATATATATATATGCATTATATATATATATACATACTATATATATATACATACTATATATATATATACATACTATATATATATATGTACATACTATATATATATACATACTATATATATATACATACTATATATATATATATATACATACTATATATATATACATACTATATATATATATATAGATACATACTATATATATATATATACATGCATTCGTATTTGTTATGTCCATGCTTGGACATGGGATCATGCTCTGAATTCACGCTTCGTATTTGTGGTATGGGTCAGCTCTTCCTCCAGCGGGTGACCCTTTTTGGAATGTGATGCCTCCAAGTTAGCTAAGTTGGAAAGCAGCTTACCTAGGCTCTACGGAAAAAAAACATCTATGAATCTGTAGTTAACCTGAATTATATTGTTATTATAATAATCTATGAATGATATTATGGATATACATCTACGTAGTTAGTGGTGTTTACCAAGCAGTAAGCAGAACTGGGAAGAGGTGTCCCAGGTCATCCCAGGTCATCGCACCTGCGGTGCCACGAGTTTTTATCTTTGATCATTTCGAAAGAACTGACAAACATCGTTTTTTCATGTTTATTATACACATATACCATCATATACCTATTAATACTGTATATACAGTAGTATATATATAATATGCAATACATACATATGTTATTTGGTTGGTGGTTTGGAACATAATTTTTATTTTTCCATTCAGTTGGGAATTTCAGTCCATCCCAACTGACTTTCACTCATATCTTTCAGCTTGGCGCCGTGCTGCCGCAGGCAGCTGGCGGATGCAGCTGATGCGGGTCATTTTCTTTACCTCGCTGGCCTTGTTGCTACGTACGTGGGGAAAAATCTTGAACCAAGGGGAATCTAATGGAAATATGGTATTTATTATCTTTTATAGATATTTTGAAGTCCCCAAATGGGTGATAGTTCCACAAAAATATGCATCTATTAACATGTTCTTAGTGGATTCCACTGGGAACCCTTTCTGTTTGAATGGTTAATCTACTGGGACTTGGGCTAGCGGGCAATCAACATGCGCTATGCTTAAGGCCAGAGTTGCCAGGGACGGACCAAGCCCTGTGCTGGTTCAATTTCTGGTATTTGTAACGTTGGTCGATTCTCCATACTTCCCCTTGAATACACCTTGGTTCGGTGGTTTACTGTGATTGATTGGGTTTCAAATGGAGGAATACGATGCAGTATTCTCCTTTCAGCTTCCGCCAGCTCCAAAGTTGCCCCAATCAGCCAAGGTTGATCCGAAGACTCTGGCAGCGCCGGTCTGCAGAAGCATCACCGGAGGTGAAACATGACAATGGAAGGTGAGTCAAATAGGTTTTGAGGGTCAAAGTGCCTGAGAATTCGAAGGGGGCTCCAGCTCCAATCTGAATAGGGAAAGCATGGGAAAAGCCGTGGAACCCCGGCGCCACCGCTCTGGTATCGGTTTCAAGCCTTCAACTGGGCTACAAGAGCCCAGTTGTGAGCCAATGGCACTTAAGGGACTTTCGAGTCGCCTTCCCTGGCAATGGGAGATTGGTCAGAAACAGCATTTTCTGGAAGGAGTCCATCCAAAATATGGTGAGCCTTAAAATTCTGACTGTCCAATTTGTCTGATTCAAACCATTCATGTCAATCTCCGATGTCAGCTGCAATGACCGGTCTTCGATTGGAGGGTAGCACTGTACCCTTGAGGGCATTGGTCGTGTTGACTTCCCTTGAGCTGCGTTTGGAAAGGATCCGACCAACCCAATTTGTTCTCCCAGAGAATGCCTCAGCATTAGATACAGATCATCGAATCGTAGGCCAAATCATCCAAATCCATTGGTTACAAGAGCCAAATCCCACGGATGCTATATATATATTATAATTATATACAATATACAAATTAAATATAGTCAAAACATATCGGTTGGATACAGCATGATCATCCTTATGCCAAAAATATCAACAACAAGATAAGTCTGATAAGATATCATTAAGTATATATCAAGGATATAAATTAAACTTATTGGATATCATAAAACATACTTATAAGCGCCTGAAGTTCAAGCTCAATTTTGCTGTCTCGGGCAAGCTTGGCTCGCCCTCGCTAGACTCCAGATGGCGATGGAGCTATCAAATATACCGCTCAAATATCGATAAATCCGTGACATGCCTATACATATATATATATATATATGTACATTCAATATATACTCTTTATATATTTATAATATATATATATATGTATATATGGCTGGTAGATTATATATATATGCACATACACTTAAACAAACACAACGCAATCCCCTTGCCCTAAGAAATGGCAACGCTGCGCAGGGCTCTCTGAACCCTTCGATGTTAGCGGGCTTGGCGGCGGCCGGAGCTGGAGTGGTGCCCCGGCGTTAGAAATTAGGGGTATTCTATGGATATCTATGGATGTTCTATGGGGATTTTCATTGATTTTATTAGATTGTATGGTGATGAATTTTTCTCGGGACTTATTGGGATGTTTGATTGGGATGTGATGGTGATGAATTTGAGTGACTTCTAGGGATTTTAAGGGGTTTTATGGATATGTTTGAGGGATTTTGTGGGTGTCTTGTGGGATTTGATTCCCCACCTGCCAGGTGAGGGTTGTTAGATTTTATGTCAGTTGCCTGCTCCTCTCCTCCTCTCCTCTCCTCCTCCTCCTCCTGCTCAACCGCGACCCTCGACGCACAGTGTTCTCTGTCGGACCTCAACCACGACCATCCACGCCCAGTGTTCCCTGCCGGACCTCAACCACGACCATCCCCGCCCAGTGTTCCCTGCCGGACCTCAACCACGACCATCCACGCCCAGTGTTCCCTGCCGGACCTCAACCGCGAGTATCCACGCCAAGTGTTCCCTGCCGGACCTCATGTAGAATGCCAGAAGATATGCCAGATAGAATGTCAGATAGAATGCCAGAAGATATGCCAGATAAAATGCCATGAGATATGCCAGATAGATATGCCAGAAGATATGTCAGATAGAATGCCAGGAGATATGCCAGATAGAATGCCAGAAGATTTGCCAGATAGAATGCCAGAAGATATGCCAGAAGATTTGCCAGATAGAATGCCAGATAGAATGCCAGAAGATATGTCAGAATATACCAGAAGATATGCCAGATAGAATGCCAGAAGATATGTCAGATAGAATGCCAGATAGAATGCCAGAAGATTTGCCAGATAGAATGCTAGAAGATATGCCAGATAGAATGCCAGATAGAATGCCAGATAGAATGCCAGATAGAATGTCAGATAGAATGCCAGAAGATATGCCAGAACATATGCCAGATAGAATGCCAGAAGATGTGCCAGAAGATATGCCAGAAGATATGCCAGATAGAATGCCAGAAGATATGTCAGAATATTTGCCAGAAGATATGCCAGATAGAATGCCAGAAGATATGTCAGATAGAATGCCAGGAGATATGCCAGATAGAATGCCAGAAGATTTGCCAGATAGAATGCCAGAAGATATGCCAGATAGAATGCCAGATAGAATGCCAGATAGAATGCCAGAAGATATGTCAGATAGAATGCCAGGAGATTTGCCAGTATGAAAATGTAAAAAATGTCATGGTGGGGATCACACGAAGTAAAGTAATTGTTTTTTTATGGTGATTTGTGGGAATGTGCGGAAATTGCAACAGGGAGGAAAGACTAAACTAAGCTTGGCGGCATCACATTGTACCATGAACGAATCTCCAGCTTCTCAATGCTGCTGTTCTTCCTGCCTACATGTTGGTCACTTCTAATTTTTGACCAATGTTAGCAAACATCCGCGGGTTTGCAACGGGTGAAATGATTTGCAAAGATCGGTCTAGGCATACATTGGGCTAACTCCTTCCAAGCTAATTGGTGGTTTGGAACATGAATTTGATTTTTCCATTCAGTTGGGAATGTCATCATCCCAACTGACGAAGTCATATTTTTCAGAGGTGTAGGTATACCACCAACCAGCAAGGGTATGATGTAAACCAACAGCAATTGGACATATGTGGGTGCTATAATTTGGGCCTTGGTTGTGTGCTTGGCCATGTGTAGCCAAGAAAAATATGCCATATGTCAGTTCTACAAGGTGAGGCTCCTCAGCTGAGTTATAATTGCCATAAACCACAAATATATTGGAGGTATGTGCAGAAAAATTTAGCTATCATAAATCAACAAAATAGAGGCCAAACACATATCTATCTGTGGATTAAATCCTCATTTGCCTTTGGTTTCGAACACATCTTTGGGGCCTCGGATCGGATGAGCGTTGCCCAGGTCCTACTTCCCTTGGCATTTTGCTGTATCTTGGCCGCCGGTGTTTGAAGGTGAATGACTCGTGGAAAGTCCCATTTGTAATGTAAATGATTCATTAAATGATCATAAATGATCAGTTTTTGACCTGAAAACCTGGCTTTTCCCGAAACTTGGAGTAGATAATTTAGTACGTTCATAATTAATTGACATATATTGACATCAGTTTTGGCTATAAATCATACATGTTTACCAACTGCAACAGGATATTTTTGCAGGAGATCCTTTAGTCAGCGTCGTCCGCTGAGTTGCCGGCATTTCTTTTTCGGTCCTTTGAGACCCGACGTATGGAGCTGTATGTTACGCATGGGCACGCTGCAAAATGACGATATTTTTTTGGATCTCTGCTTTTCAGCCGGTTCTGGTTTGGGTAGGTTTTAGGGTAGATCTGTGGATGTTTCAAGGGGTGTTTCTATGTTGTTCCATTGAAAACATGACCCAAGCTGGTTGTGTTTGGCCAAAATCGAGCCATGAACCCATCAGGTAGCTCCGCAGATGCATGTTTTTCCACATGTAGCCCCAAAAAGAAAAGTAATTCATCAGAACCAGAACAGTAGCTCATCACTATTTGATAGAAGGATTTTACTTTTAGTAATTCATCACTATTTGAGCTTCGGATTTCACCATCAAATCACTGTATGCAACTTGCGTTGCGTGCTATATACGTCCCAACTTTCCAGGGGGAAAGCAATCCGATCAAAGTCTAAAAGGGCTACAATGGGCAGAAATATCATTCTGGGTAAATATGGCTAATGGAAATCATCCCCAAATGGCCTTCATTCAGCTTAGTGAAATATTATTATTTTCCCAGATCATTGTATCCCATAACTTTGGGGTTTTACTGGTTTTATAATGTTTTATTAATATGAAAACAAGTGGTAATTTTTCCATGGTTTTTTCACCGCAGAAGCGCCCAGGTTTTTGCCCAAAAAAGGCGGGATCAGCGAAGAGCCTCGGTTTCTGCTCTCGGACGACCCTTAAGGAATCGACATTGAAACGACACCCCTTAAAGATGTCGAACATTTACCTATGATCTTGTTGCATGATCAACAGATTGGACAGGAATGTAGGTTTAAGATGGTTTAAGTTTCCATTATAAGTATCCTTGAATTGTTTAAATATGTCTAAATCAATGATTAGTTACTGGGTGATTACAGTGGCTAATTAGTAGGCTTTCACAAAGGCTATGTGCTAATTCCATGGATCAAGTGCTGTGGAGACTTCAGCTGAACGGTGAGTTTGGTGGGCTGGAATCTACCAGCAATTTTTGGAACCAACTGGGGCCCGTGGGGCCCCAAAACGTTGGCTTTAACTGGGTTTATCATTATCATAGCTGGGGTTTAGTTCATAGTTACAACATGTTATAACATGTTGTAATAACATGTTTTTATAACATGTTGTTATAACATGTTGTGACACTAGGTAGATGGTTTACAAAGCCAACAAACAAGACTTGGGGCCGCCGCTGCCACGTGGAGCTGCTATGTCCATGGAGATGGGATCATGATCATGGTATCCACGTAGATTTATAGCGACAGGGACAAAACAAGTACCATAAATGAATATCTAGGTATGGTTTGAATTGCCTAAATATACTAGATGTAGGTATTTATCTATTAATCTATCTATCTATCCATCCTATCCTATCTTATATTATCTTATCTTATGATATCATATGTTATCTCGTGTTATTTTTTTGTTAGGTTATCTTATCTGATCTTATGTTATCCTATCTATCTATCTATCTATCTATCTATCTATCTATCTACCTACCATTTGTGGTACCCACTTCATTGGGTTTTTAGAGCAACAGACACAACTGGGGGACACCACCTTGTGGCACATCTCTTGTTGCGAAGCTCCAAGTTGGATGATGCCCGGCGCCTTTTTGTTTTCAGCGACCCCCATCTAACTGGCCATATTTTGTGGGGATATTCCCTTGCATAGGCCTTATATATAGGCCTTGTATGGAATCCGTACCTCCAATGAGTCGGATCCTGAAATTCCCATTGATCAACGGTAGGCTCAAGCTGAAAAAACAGTGTCATCATGGGGAAGGAGTGTCAAGGTGTGACGTGGCAACTCAAAATGAAACCCCAGCGCTCCGCTGGGTGAGGTTACTCGGCAAGGTGCAATTGGAGGAGCTTTCCTTTGAAGAGTTGCGCGGAACTTTTGAACAGATAGTTTCGAGGGGTGATGCTGTGGTGCTGTTTCCGCACATCCCAAACTGTCAAA